CATAGGAATCACAGTTGTCCAACCTACAGCCGTTCATAGGAAAACTTATCTCCAGGATAAGCCAAACATACTAATTTTTCACCATTTATCATTTACATGTTATATCTGTCTCTAAAACATGTAATCTTTTTGGCGCTAATATTATGTAAATCATCAGCGCTCCCTGGTAAGTCTCGTCGTTACTCCCACGGGTTTCTTTCAGTTAAAACATGATACATTTTTCGAGAGTTATCAATTCGTAATAAAACACACTTTTACTTCTTTCACCAAATTAAGCACACTTCCTATCATGGTTGTGCATATAGTGGCGAACGTTGTTGCTTCAATCCTGTTTGTATCGTGAAACAGGTTTTTGTCGTCGTTCAAATTTAGATGCCGGTCTGTCTTTGAATTTGCATCGAAAGACTCATTTTTTACAGAAAGGCCTTACTTAGGACTCCGGCTTTCCGACCGTAACTATAGGATGTTTGCAAGTCCCGACCTACTACCTCGCGCCATAAAGGATCGTAACAGTGACTCTCTATCGATCGACAATAGAATATACTAGATACTCACAAGCAGTATGCTATTTCGCGTAGTTCTGAACTTCACTGCACAACGTAAAGGAGACCTGTTGCAGCATTTAGGAAGCACATCACATTGTCATCTTGTGTGCAATTTCTACTTTGTCAATAAACTTTATTTCTGAGAATACAGCTCTCTAACTCCACTCCGCTCGTGGCATAAAGTCTGCTCGAAAGTCGAGAGCGCGCAACTGATTCATGCATAAACAGCGTGTAAGAAAGCGAGGCAAATCCGCCACACTAAGCTGAGAACCTTGTTCCAGCACCACTGATTTTCAAACGATTGCTATTTAGCCATATTTTCGGGTCATTTTGCTCATTCAAGAAATTTAGCATACAGGTCACGTATAAAATGGCGGAAATTGTAGTTTTGTTCTTCTTGTTCAAATTTAAAGTCCACTCTGCCTTTGAATATGCATCAAAATGCTCATTTCTTCATACAAATTCAAACTCCAGGACCTCTTCTTTCCTAAAATGTCTAATTATATAATAAAGCGATTTAAAGAGACATTCTTTCGTCATTTATCCTAAGTTCTTTTTGGAATCACACCGCTTTGTAGACTTTTGACCGTAAAATGTCATTCTAACTTTGGGTAAATCAAAGTATATTTCACATATAATGTTTGCCATATAACGAAGCTAAGATCTATTTAATAGGCAAAGATCTGAAGTTCCTGAATTAGCTTGTTATCGACCAGAATGTCAAGCAAACTAACACAGTTTGAGCGACGCCATTTTGTAGCAACCATGTTTCCTCAGTGGTCCGTTTACTAAGTATAAGATCACCTTGCGCGCTCAATAACTCACTATTAGTCTTAGTTCCGAAGGTTCTACAGCACACAACATGTCCGAAGCAAAGTCTCCCGTTAAAAAGAAGCCAGCTGCGCCCAAAAAGCCAGCCGAGCATCCACCATATGCAGACATGATCAAAGCTGCTATCTTAGCGTTGAAAGAGCGAAATGGTTCTTCCCGCCAAGCCATCGAGAAGTACATCAAAGCCAACTACAAGGTTGGTGAGGTCGGCTCGCACTTGAAGATGGCTTTGAAGAGGGGTGTTACTAGTGGCAAGTTTGTCCACACCAAGGGAGTTGGTGCTTCTGGTTCTTTCAAGGTGCCCAAGGAGGAAAAGAAAGAGAAGAAGCCGAAGAAAAAGCCAGCTGCAAAGAAGAAGCCTGCTGCCAAACCAAAGAAGCCCGCCGCCAAAAAGGCAGCAGCGAAGAAACCAGCGGCGAAGAAGGCAGCAAAGAAACCCGCCGCCAAAAAGCCAGCAGCGAAAAAAGCTGCCGCTAAAAAGCCAGCAGCAAAGAAACCTGCGGCCAAAAAACCAGCAGCGAAGAAGCCTGCAGCTAAAAAGCCCGCCAAGAAAGCTCCGAAGAAATCTCCGAAGAAGAAAGCGGCCAAGAAATAGGGAGGACATAAACTCCTGATTTAAAAAACGGCTCCTTTAGGAGCCACCACATTTAAGAAAAAGTTATGACCAACTGAGTATTTAAACCGTCTTTGATAATCGAGTTTAACTTTTCGATAAATTTTGTTGTGGCCCCCACTAAAGTTTTCCCGATATTGGTCACTTTATCGTCAGCTAAATTTGGTTTTATGAGGATATCGCTGCTATAAGGATGCATAAAGGGCGAAGTTATTTTACGCATCAATTTTAGAATGGGCGCCTGAACCTGTCCTTGTTTATTTGTGACAATTTTCCTACGCACAGTCCATGACAGATACACTAGGTACATAGCGATGTTAACCTTGTCACGCATCGCGTTCCTCGCCTAGCTTAAAAGAAAGAGAAACGGGGAGGTTTATCTCAAAACTGCCTCCTTTTATCGCTCTGAGCAATCATCGGTCTCTGGAGAATATCTCCAGGCTAAGCAAAGTTATCATTCTTTCCCTGTAGCTTCCAAAGTTTTCTGTTTTTTGAAACTCCAAATTTGTCGAGTATGACATAGACCTTGCGGCATTTGTGCTCCACTTTGAAGCATAAAAACAAGCGGCGAAGCCGCAAAAGACTTGGGACTAATGACTAACGCTTTAAGCGCAAACAGGACCATTAGTTTCACAGGCTAGTTCTCGATCTTTTATGTTTTGAAAGTTGAGGAGCACTAAGAATGGGCTTAAGTGAATGTCTGACTCTACTACTGGGGTTCTTTTTCAGGCCGTCTGAGTCTCGCAGCTCATCCAATAATCAATAGTATATATTTCTGTTAAAGATCCCGCCGCGTCGAGTACACTGGCCGCTAAGAAGAGCTTCAAAATCCGGAGATCTATTGTAGATCGATCATCATTCAGGTACTTACTGGTGATAATTAAAGAAAAAAAATTTGGTTCTTCAAAGTTATAATTCTAATGTGACACTTTGCTATACACTTTGAACAATACTCCTCGCTTCCCTACCCGTCCTATCTATGACTCATGTTTGCTGCGCTCTTTCATTTTATTTGTTACATTTTGTTTCGCCTGGTCAAGAAACAGTTCACGCGGTCAGTTTAAAAACAGACCTTATACACAAAGAAAACACTAACCAAATCCAAACCATCATAGTCGATATTAAGGGAAATTTTCATTTAAGCTCGTATTACGTTAATGATTGACTTTCTTAACATTTGGTGGCTCCTAAAGGAGCCGTTTGTTTTGGCGGGAAACCCACAAAGTGAGTTTACTTGCTGCTGGTGTATTTGGTCACAGCCTTGGTTCCTTCACTGACCGCGTGTTTTGCCAGTTCACCGGGCAGAAGCAGCCTGATAGCGGTCTGGATCTCGCGAGAGCTGATGGTCGACTTTTTGTTGTAGTGGGCAAGGCGGGAAGCTTCGGTGGCGATGCGCTCGAAGATGTCGTTAACGAACGAGTTCATGATGCCCATGGCTTTGCTGGAGATACCAGTGTCGGGGTGAACTTGCTTCAACACCTTGTAGATGTAGATAGCATAGCTTTCCCTTCTCTTTCCTCTCCTCTTCTTCTTTCCATCAGCAATGGCTTTAGCCTTTCCGGCTTTCTTCTCGCCTTTCTTTCCTGCAACTTTAGCTGGCATCTTGTTAAATCACAAAGATGAATAGATGTGCAGTGCAGCGCGTCTTATATTTATATCAGAATCGTAAGAGGATATTTTAGCATACGGATCGAAATTCTCGATCAATGATTGGCCTGTTACGATATGCTAACCCCGGGGGTCAATTTGTATGTTATTCTTTCTTTAATCAGAATATTATAATGATATTAAATCACGCAAAACTTAAAGTTGATTGGTGCTTTTTGATCCTTCGTGCATAATGAACGAACTATAAATAACAGACTTGGGAAAGGATACTTATCCATTCTCATTGTAAACGTTAGAGCATTTCCCTACAAACATGTCTGGTCGCGGTAAAGGAAAAGCTAAGGGCACCAAGTCCAAGAGCCGCTCATCTCGAGCAGGGCTTCAATTCCCAGTTGGTCGAATCCACCGTCTTCTCCGCAAAGGCAATTACGCTGAGCGAGTCGGCGCCGGTGCTCCAGTGTACTTGGCCGCTGTGCTCGAATACTTGAGTGCTGAGATTCTTGAGTTGGCGGGCAATGCTGCTCGTGACAACAAGAAGACAAGAATCATTCCCCGTCACCTTCAACTGGCTGTCCGTAACGACGAGGAGTTGAACAAACTTCTTGCCGGTGTCACCATCGCACAGGGAGGTGTTCTTCCTAACATCCAAGCTGTACTTCTGCCCAAGAAGACCGAGAAGAAACCCAAGGCATAAATCAGCTTTAACCCATAAAAACGGCTCCTGTAGGAGCCACCACATACTACAAAAGTCTTGACTAGCTGTAGACGATAAAGTGAATAAGAACTATCAAAATATCATCTCAGAACCCCTTCCCCCAGTTTCCAAATCCATGTCATAAATTGAAAAGTCTAAAGGTTCTTTTGATACCAATGTCGGCCAACGACTTAATACACTTTATAAATTTTTTCGCGCACCAAAATCGCAAAGGTTTGTAAATGTCGCGCCATTTTTATGTCGACATCACTGGCGGTTATAACAAATTGCGCCCAAATCAGTTTGAAAGCAGGGCTGGTTCGAGGGTAAGGCGGTGTGAATTTTATTGTACTGTCAATGTAACTCATGCGACCCGCAAGATAAAGATAAGATTGGAAATAAATGTGTTAACAGGGGTGCTTGGAAAATACAGCTTGATGGTCGTTTTAAATATTAAAATGGAAATACAAGGCTTGAGAGCAAACGGTGAAAGCGAGTCAGGGCTGCCATGTGATATAATGTTTGGGCGACTTTATTCATTTTTCTTTTGCATGCGATGTGCTGTTCTTCGCGCTTCAATACTTTACAGTAACACGCAGTTTGTTTAACAGTATGAGCGAAGGATATACGATTTTAATTCACGCATAAAAGGAAACAAAATTATTGGTCATGGCTTTTCTTATAATTGGTGGCTCCTAAAAGAGCACTTTGTATTGTGTCAGGGGGGTCTATCTAACAGCCATATCCGTACAGAGACAAGATCTTAGAAATAACGCCATCAGAACTTTTACTCGACGCAAACAGGCGTGAATTGCGCGCCAAAATTGTTTATCGTTGAATCTTTGATGCCGACGTTACTGGCGGTTATAAGAAATAGCGTCTAACTTCAGTTTGAAATTGAGCTGGTTTGATCCTGATTTTATAGTCAATTTATACTCAGGCGATTCATAAAAGAACACTCGGAAAGGAAAGTGATGTAGGTAACTAACAAGCAACAAGCGAAGAATGCTCTTGGATTATGAATAGCTTTATGGAAAAACCTAATGGTTGTAAAAGTATTCAACTGTAGAAACAAGGTTAGAAGGAGGGAAGGTTGAGGGAAAAGAGAAAGCGGGCAAGTAATGCCAACGAGATTTCGATTGTTCTTCGTATGCGCGCAACGTTCTTTGTCCGAGCTACTGCCCCATATCGTATTGCGTGCGGATGGTGCAGATATTTCCCTTGGCAAATTATCTGTATGTGCGAGATATAAGCGTTCGTAAAAAAACATACATGTGTATTGATCATGACTTTCTTTGTATTTGGTGGCTCCTAAAGGAGCCGTTTGTATTGTGGCAGGATGGTCTGTCTAACCGCCAAATCCGTACAGAGTGCGGCCCTGTCTCTTCAAAGCGTACACCACATCCATGGCTGTCACAGTCTTCCTTTTGGCGTGCTCCGTGTATGTCACAGCATCACGGATCACGTTCTCGAGAAAAACTTTGAGAACACCACGGGTCTCTTCGTAGATCAAGCCGGAGATTCGCTTGACACCGCCACGGCGAGCAAGTCGACGGATGGCTGGCTTAGTGATTCCTTGGATGTTATCACGAAGGATTTTTCGGTGACGCTTGGCGCCTCCTTTTCCGAGACCTTTACCTCCTTTACCGCGACCGGACATGCTGATTATCACTCTTGTGTTTGAGTTATGGCAATTAGACGGACGTTATTAGGTTTTATACAAAAAGATAAGACCTCTCAGAAAACAGAATGGGAATAAGGGTTGCTATTGGTTGAGTCAAATATCTAATCATCATTTTACTGTTATATTAACATGTATTAACATAAATCACACGGTATTCCCGCGCGCGTATGCTTCATCGGAAAACAAGTCTCTCCCATCCAAAAGTCACTTGTGAACTACGTTAAAAATAGTTTTTCCTCTCTATTTATGCTTTATGTTAAATTTAAAGGGAGAATAATACTTAGGTTATCCCTAAACGACCTTTCATGTTACTTCGGATCAAAATAAGATCGCAGATCCGTGAAACTATGCACAACTTTCGTACCTAACCAATCAAATCTCTTCATTTTGAGCCAATCACAAGTAAGCCCGCCAGGTATAAATCAATTTCAATAAACAATTCCCCATCATCACTCATTCAGAGTCGTTGCACAGAATGGCACGTACGAAGCAAACCGCACGAAAATCAACCGGTGGAAAAGCTCCACGAAAACAGCTCGCCACAAAGGCAGCTCGTAAGAGCGCTCCTGCCACCGGAGGAGTCAAGAAACCGCATCGTTACAGACCTGGTACAGTCGCTCTTCGTGAGATCCGTCGTTACCAGAAATCCACCGAGCTGTTGATCCGCAAGCTGCCCTTCCAGCGTCTTGTGCGAGAAATTGCTCAAGACTTCAAGACTGATCTGCGTTTCCAGAGCTCGGCTGTGATGGCTCTCCAGGAAGCTAGCGAGGCTTACCTTGTCGGTCTGTTTGAAGACACCAACTTGTGCGCCATCCACGCCAAGCGTGTCACCATTATGCCCAAGGACATTCAGTTGGCCCGCCGAATCCGCGGAGAGAGAGCATAAGTTGACTTCACTTCGAATTACAAACGGCTCCTTTAGGAGCCACCACATAAATAAAAGCAATGACCAAATTATGAGCCCCTCAACAACCAACTTAACAGCCTTAAGCTGGAAATATGAAATCAGAAATTAAACCGTATGAAATTGTCCTACTTAAAGCGCTCTGAGTGGCAACTCTGAACTGCATAGAAATCCTAGTTGTTTTACCTAAATCCATTCATACGAAAACACTTCATTTTTATCTCCAAGATAAGTCATACATATCCTTTTTTCGACCGTTTATCATTTGCATGTTATATCTATCTCCTAGACGTGTATTTTTTTTGGCGCTAATATTATGTAAATCATCAGCGCCCCCTGGTAAGTCTTCGTTACTCCCATGGGCTCTTAAGTTAAAAACATGACGTATTTTTTCAAGAGTTATCAATTCGCAATAAAAGACAATTTTACTTCATTCACCAAATTAAGCATACTTCTTATCGAGGTTGTGCATAAAGTGGCGAACGTTGTTGCTTCAATCCTGTTTGTATCGTAAAACAGGTTTTGTCGTTCAAAATTAGATGCCGGTCTGTCTTTGAATTTACATCGAAAGACTATTTATACAAAGGCCTAACTTAGGACTCCGTCTTTCTGACCGTAACTATATGATGTTTGTAAACTTGAAGTTTCCCTTCTGGGGTGCTTGGTTTGTCCGGAAGCCCAGAGCCACTACCTAGCGCCAAAGAAGATCGTAAAAGTGACTCTCTATCGATCGACAATAGAATATACTAGATACTAGCAAACAGTATGCTATTTCGCGTAGTTCTGAACTTCACAGCACAACGTATAGGAGACCTATTGCAGCATTTAGCAAGCATATCACATTGTCATCTGGTGTGCAATTTCTACTTTGTCAATAAACTTTAATTCTGAGAATAAAGCTCTCTAACTCCACTCCGCTCTTGGTTTAAAGTCTGCTCGGGAGTCGAGAGCGCGCAACTGATTCATGCAGAACTAGCGTGTAAGAAAGCGAGGCAAATCTGCCACACTAAGCAGATAACCTTGTTCCATCAACATTAACTTTCAAACGATTGCTATTTAGCCATATTTTCGGGTCATTTTGTTCATTCAAGAAATTTAGCATACAGGTCACGTATAAAATGGCGGATATTTTAGTTTTGTTCTTCTTGTTCAAATTTAAAGTCCGCTCTGCCTTTGAATGTGCATCAAAATACTCATTTTTTCATACACATGCAAACTCCAGGACCTCCTCTTTCCTGATATGTCTAATTTTATAATGAAAAGCGATTTAAAGAGAGCTTCTTTCGTCATTTATCCAAAGTTCTTTTTGGAATCACACCGCTTTGTAGACTTTTGACCGTAAAATGTCATTCTAACTTTGAGTAAATCAAAGTATATTTCACATATAATATTTTCCATATAACGTAGCTAAATTCCTTTAAATAAGAAAAGATTTGAAGTTATTGTATTAGCTTGTTATCGACCGAAATGTCAAGCAAACTAGCACAGTTTGAACGACGCCATATTGTAACAACCCTGTTTCCTCGGCGGTTCGTTTACGAAGAATAACATCACCTTGCGCGCTCCAAGTAATCATTACTAGTCTCTGTTGCGAGGGATCTACAGCACACAACATGTCCGAAGAAAAACCCCCCGTTAAAAAGAAGCCAGCTGCGCCCAAAAAGCCAGCCGAGCATCCACCTTATTCTGACATGATCAAAGCTGCTATCTTAGCGTTGAAAGAGCGAAACGGTTCTTCCCGCCAAGCCATCGAGAAGTACATCAAAGCCAACTACAAGGTTGGTGAGGTCGGCTCGCACTTGAAGATGGCTTTGAAGAGGGGTGTTACCAGTGGCAAGCTTGTCCACACTAAGGGAGTTGGTGCTTCTGGTTCCTTCAAGGTGGCCAAGGAGGAAAAGAAGGAGAAGAAGCCGAAGAAGAAACCAGCTGCAAAGAAGAAGCCAGTTGCAAAGAAGAAGCCTGCTGCCAAACCAAAGAAGCCCGCCGCCAAAAAGGCAGCAAAGAAACCAGCGGCGAAGAAGACAGCGAAGAAACCCGCCGCCAAAAAGCCAGCAGCGAAGAAACCCGCAGCTAAAAAACCAGCTGCAAAGAAACCTGCGGCCAAAAAACCAGCAGCGAAGAAGCCTGCGGTTAAAAAGCCCGCCAAGAAAGCTGCGAAGAGTTCGAAATCTCCGAAGAAGGCTGCCAAGAAATAGGGAGGATAACAACTCCTCGTTTAATCAAACGGCTCCTTTAGGAGCCACCACATTCAACAAAAAGTTATGACCAACTGAGTAAAACACTGTTTCGATAATCGAGTTTAACTTTCCAATAAATTTGGTAATGGCCCTCACTAAGGTTTTCCCACTAAAGGTCGCTTTCTTGTTAGTTAAATTGGCTTTTATGAGGAAAGCGCTGCTATGTGGATACATAGGGTGCGTAGCAATGTTTCGAATGAATTTGGGAATGGGCGCGTGAACTTTTCCTTGCGTATTTGTGACAATTTTCAGACAGACAGTCCATGACAGATACACCAGTTACATGGCAATGTTACCCTCGTCTCACATCGCGTTCCTTCGCCTAGCTTAACATAAAGAGAAACAAGGCAAGGACTTTATCGCAGTAAACTGCCCCCTTTTATCGCTTTGAGCAACTCTCAGTCGCTGGAGAATATCTCTAGGCTAAGCAAAGTTAACTGTCTCAGCGTGTAGCTTTCAAAGTTTTCTGTTTTCTTGACTCCAATTTTGTCGAGTATCACACGTAGCTTGCGGCATTTGTGCTCCGCTTTGAAACATAAAAACAAGCGGCGAAGCCGCAGAAGACTTGAGACTAATGACAAACGCTTTAAGCGCACACAAGACCATTGGCTTCGCAGGCTAGTTGTTGATCTTTTAGCGTCGAGCACTTTGGCCGCTGAGAAAAGCTTCGAACTCCAGAGATCTATTGTAGATCGGTCACGCTCAAGGTGACCGAGAGGTGATAATTAAAAAAAAGAACTCTGGTTCTTCAAATTTTAATTCTTGCGTGACATTTTAAAAGAAATCATGAAAAATATTCTTCGCTTCCTACCCGTTTTATCTATGACTAATATTGCTTTGCTCATTAATTAGTTACATTTTGTTTCGCCTCGCCAAGGAAACAGTTCGCGCGGTATACATACGCTATACACACGACATACGCTAAGGCCATAGGAAAACCACGAAAAACAGCACCAGGATTTTATTGAAACAGATGATAAAGCAATTTCAGGAGTACTTAACGGAGTTGTATTGGTCATGGACTTTTATAACATTTAGTGGCTCCTAAAGGAGCCGTTTGTTTTGGCGGGAAACCCACAAAGTGAGTTTACTTGCTGCTGGTGTATTTGGTCACAGCCTTGGTTCCTTCACTGACCGCGTGTTTTGCCAGTTCACCGGGCAGAAGCAGCCTGATAGCGGTCTGGATCTCGCGAGAGCTGATGGTCGACTTTTTGTTGTAGTGGGCAAGGCGGGAAGCTTCGGTGGCGATGCGCTCGAAGATGTCGTTAACGAACGAGTTCATGATGCCCATGGCTTTGCTGGAGATACCAGTGTCGGGGTGAACTTGCTTCAACACCTTGTAGATGTAGATAGCATAGCTTTCCCTTCTCTTTCCTCTCCTCTTCTTCTTTCCATCAGCAATGGCTTTAGCCTTTCCGGCTTTCTTCTCGCCTTTCTTTCCTGCAACTTTAGCTGGCATCTTGTTATATCACAAAGATGAATAGATGTACAGAGCAACGCGTCTTGTATTTATATCAGAATCGTGAGAGGATCTATTAGCATACGGATCGAAATTCTCGATCAATGATTGGCCTGTTACGATATGCTAACCCCGGGGGTCAATTTCTATGTTATTATTATTATTATGTTACTCTTTACAAGGATATTAAATCACGCGAAACTTAAAGTTGATTGGTGCTTTTCGATCCTTCCTGCATAATGAACGAACTATAAATAACAGACTTGGTACAAGTTATCTATTCATTCTCATTGTTAACAGTTAAGCAATTCACGACAAACATGTCTGGTCGCGGTAAAGGAAAAGCTAAGGGCACCAAGTCCAAGAGCCGCTCATCTCGAGCAGGGCTTCAATTCCCAGTTGGTCGAATCCACCGTCTTCTCCGCAAAGGCAATTACGCTGAGCGAGTCGGCGCCGGTGCTCCAGTGTACTTGGCTGCTGTGCTCGAATACTTGAGCGCTGAGATTCTTGAGTTGGCGGGCAATGCTGCCCGTGACAACAAGAAGACAAGAATTATTCCCCGTCACCTTCAACTGGCTGTCCGTAACGACGAGGAGTTGAACAAACTTCTTGCCGGTGTCACCATCGCACAGGGAGGTGTTCTTCCCAACATCCAGGCCGTACTTCTGCCCAAGAAGACCGAGAAGAAACCCAAGGCATAAATCAGCCTTAACTCATAAAAACGGCTCCTGTAGGAGCCACCACATAATACAAAAGTCTTGACTAGCTGGACACGATACGACTATCAAAATATCATCTCATAACCCCTCTTCCCAGTTTCCAAATTTATGTCATAAAATGAAAATCCAAATGTTTTCAAATGTGATACCAATGTCGCCCAACGACCAAATACACTTCATACAGTTTTCGCGCACAAAAATCGAAGAAATAACGACTTTCGATATGTTATTCGACGCAAAGGTTTGTAAATCTCGTGCCAAAATCTTTTGTTGTTGAATCTTTTATGTCGATATCAATGGTGGCTATAACAAATTGCGCCCAAATCCATTTTGAAAGCAGGGCTGGTTTGCGGGTAAGCCGGTGTGAATTTCGTTGTACTGTCAATGTATCTCATGCAACCCGCGAAAAAAAAATCAGACAGGAGATGAAATGTGTTAACAGGCGTGCCTAGAAAATACAGCTTGATGATGTGTAGCTTGGAAGAAAACCATGGTTATTTTAAATATTACAATGGCAAAACAAGGCTTGAGAGTGAACAGTGAAAGCGAGTCAGGGCTGCCATCTGATAGAATGTTTGGGCGACTTAATTCATTTTTCCTTTGCATGCGATGTGCTGTTCTTCGCGCTTCAATACTTTACAGTGACGTGCGATTTTTTTAACAGAATGAGCGAAGGATATAGATTTTAATCCACACAGAAAGGGAAACAAATTTATTGGTCATGACTTTTCTTATAATTGGTGGCTCCTAAAAGAGCCGTTTGTATTGTGTTAGGGCGGTCTTTCTAACCGTCAAATCTATTCAGTGTTTACACGCACCAAAATCTTAGAAATAACGCCGTCGGAACTTTAACCTTGCCTGACGCAAATGTGAGTTGCGCGCCAAAAATCGTTTATCGTTGAATCTTTTATGCCGACGTTACTTGCGGTTATAAGAAATTGCGTTTAATTCCAGTTTGAAAGTGAGCTGGTTTGATTTTGATTTTATGCTCAATTTCATAAAAGAACACTCGGAAAGGGAGGAAAGTGATGCAGGTTACTAACAAGCAACAAGCGAAGTATGCAGCTGGATTAGGAATAGCTTTATGGAAAAACATAATGGTCGTATAAATATTCAACTGTAGAAACAAGGTTAGAGGAAGGGAAGGTAGAGGGAAAAGAGAAAGCTGGCCAGTAGTGCCAACGAGATTTTATTTGTTCCTCGTTTGCGCGCAAGGTTCCTTTTCCGAGATACTAGCCCAAATCGTGACGCGAGCGGATGGTGCAGTCATTTTCTAAAGCAAATTATCTGTATGAGCGAGATATAAGCGATCGCAACAAATATGATCATGACTTTCTTTGTATTTGGTGGCTCCTAAAGGAGCCGTTTGTATTGTGGCAGGATGGTCTATCTAACCGCCAAATCCGTACAGAGTGCGGCCTTGTCTCTTCAGAGCGTACACCACATCCATGGCTGTCACAGTCTTTCTCTTGGCGTGCTCGGTGTATGTCACAGCATCACGGATCACGTTCTCAAGAAAGACTTTGAGAACACCACGGGTCTCCTCGTAGATCAAGCCGGAGATTCGCTTGACACCGCCACGGCGAGCCAGACGACGGATGGCTGGCTTGGTGATACCTTGGATGTTATCACGAAGGATTTTTCGGTGACGCTTGGCGCCTCCTTTTCCGAGACCTTTACCTCCTTTACCGCGACCAGACATGTTGATTATCAGCCGTGTGTTTGAGTTATAGCAATTGAACGAACGTTATTAGCTTTTATACAGAAAGATGAGACCTCTCAGAAAACAGAATGGGAATAAGGGTTGCTATTGGTTGAGTCAAATGTCTGAGCATAATTTTACTGTCTTATTAACATGTCTTAGCATAAATCACACGGTATTCCCGCGCGCGTATGTTTTCGATGGAAAACAACTCACTTCCTGATCCAAAGTTTCTTGAAACATTCGCTGCGAATTGTTTTTGCTCTCTAGCTATACTATATATTAAATTTAAAATGAGGATATTATTTGGCTTATGCCTAAACGACCTTCCATGTTACTTCGGATCCAAATAACATAGCAGATCCATAAAATTATTCACAGCTTTCGTACCTAACCAATCAAATCTCTTCATTTTGAGCCAATCACAAGTAAGCCCGCCAGGTATAAATCAATTTCTATACATAACTTCCTATCATCAGTTATTCAGAGTCGTTGAACAGGATGGCACGTACGAAGCAAACTGCACGAAAATCAACCGGTGGAAAAGCTCCACGCAAACAGCTCGCCACAAAGGCAGCTCGTAAGAGCGCTCCTGCCACTGGTGGAGTCAAGAAACCTCATCGTTACAGGCCTGGTACAGTCGCTCTTCGTGAGATCCGTCGTTATCAGAAATCCACCGAGCTGTTGATCCGCAAGCTGCCCTTCCAGCGTCTTGTGCGAGAGATCGCTCAAGATTTTAAGACAGATCTGCGTTTTCAGAGCTCCGCGGTAATGGCTCTTCAAGAAGCTAGCGAGGCTTACCTTGTTGGTCTGTTTGAAGACACCAACTTGTGCGCCATCCACGCCAAGCGTGTCACCATCATGCCCAAGGACATTCAGCTGGCCCGCCGAATCCGCGGAGAACGAGCTTAGGCGGACTGCACCACTACAAAACACAAACGGCTCCTTTAGGAGCCACCACATGATTAAAAGCAATGACCACGTAAATATTTCCTCTCTAGAGGGAAATATCTTTTCAGGCCCAGCATTTCCACACATTCCAAATCTAAACCTTTTTATGCACTCACAGAATGTCTTTCGTCATCTTTAACGTCGCTCTCTGACTTATGGCCTCTAGAAAATCGGCATAACTTGAAGATAAGATCGTGTGAAGATGGATGTATCACTGCTTTTAAAAGGAGTGGCAAAATAGAAAGTGAAAAAAAAATTCGGCTGAATAGTAGAGTAGAATTAATTACTTGCACACGAAATAACAAGGGCCCATTTTGTCTCGTCTTTCTTTACAAAAACAGGACTCACAAGGGGAGGGTCTTCGAATGAACCAAAACGTTTACATTTCAACTTTATGCTTCAGTTCCTCCTTGGTGAAAATTGTTTGTTTTCTAACTTCCTAACTCTTTGATAATCATTGAAATATTTTTGACAGCAACGGTTTTTTCACGTTGACTTAGGTTTTTAAGATAAAGGAATCTGTGTAGCAGTGATTGTCAAAATAAATATGATAGCTAACAATTTGGTAAAATATGACCGGCAAAACAAGACATCAGAGCGTGGAGAACTACTTCGAAATGATCCTGAGTAGTAGGTGCCCTCGCGTGACTCTCGCCTAGCTCGCGCGTTTCCCGCCAAGTTCACGCTCCTTTTTTTCCTCCTTTTGTTTTACTACAGGAAACTTGTAGGTTATTTAAAAACAAAAGTAATTTGACAGGCGAAGTATGAGCACTATGTTGTCATCCCCTCTTACTTTTCCGATGGGCACTTCCCTTGTAAAAATTGCACAGACGCTCGTCGGAAACATTTGAGAGCGCCCACAAAAATACTAAGATAGTGTGTTATGTAGATGACCTTCCGGCTGGAGTTTCACGTTGCTGGAGCTCACACATGCAACGCGTGGTATTTTCACAATTGAACAGATGGACTTTTTTTTTTTTTTGGCTTTCTCGAGACATGAGCTTAAAACGCCTCCGGTAATTTTGTCAGATGTTCATGCTTTAGTTGGGCAAAGGAAAAAAGGAAACTTTATTTTGTGTTATGTGAATCTCAAGAATGCGTTACGTTTATTTAGTTGAATTCCTGACGGAAATTTTGCCAAAAATTTTCTTGATTACTGCAATGTCCAATTCTCTAGTGTAGATCTAAATAATTTCTCATGCAGAGCGATACGGCGAAAAACAGCCTTTTGAATGAAGAGACGAAAAGAAAACAAAAGATAAACCAGGGTCATTTTTATGCCTTTGAGTGCTTTCTTTTATGTCTTATCTTTTTCTGCTCTAAATACGCTCTTCCTCCTTTTAGGCTACGCCCTGATAAGAGTGTATTATCGGGGAATTTGAATTCGAGATCCAGGCATAAGTTACAGTCTTCTTCAACCTCTCTTCAAACATTTCTCGGTATCAATTTGGGTAACATTAAATTAAAATGCCCTGTTGATGGAACTCAGCGGGAGGGGGTGGGGAAGGCCCCAGGAAATAACTCTTGTTGCTGAAGCTCGTTGGATAAGATCCCGATGTTAATCCTTTCAAATTATTTCACGATGATTGCAGATTTGTTCTTCAAACTCATAGAACCAAGAAATTTCCTTCTGAAGGGCAAACACGTGAGAGGAATGCTGGGCTGGCATCTCTCTTCAAAAAACTTTTGTTTAGGATGTGTTGTACCAATGTGTAATGACTTGGGTAGAGTGAAATATTCTCTGGGGATGGGGGTGGGGTCCAAACGGCGGCCTCTGGTTTCAGAGAGCGCGGAAACTGAAACAACTTCTGCACGTGCTTCAGTTTGTTTTCCTCCTTTGCTAAATTCTTTCATATTTTTAATTTTCGTGCTTGTGAATGTTACTTCACATATCACTGTACCTTTGGTTGCAACGTATCGAACCTTATGATTTCCCTTTGAATGAAGACACGTGACGGATCACTGAATAGCTTCCGTTTGTTTGGGTCCGAGGTTGTTGAAATTGTGTGCATTGTGGGTGCATTTGCATTTATTTAAAAAGTTTTGGGGTGTATTTTTTACACTAGAGGATTGAAACAGCCAGTAGCTCACGACCAAACAGTAGTGAAACCAGTCAAAGTTATTTCGTACGGCGCAGATATGGCGAAAGGAAACGGCCGAGGTGTTTTTTCAACAGGAGGGAGCAAGTGCTGTGGTTGTTGTTCAGGATGTATGCGGCGAGTTAGCAAAGACTTGTTGCTTGTTCTTATAATCATTGGTGTCGTGATCGGTTTTGTCATCGGAGCTCTCGTCAACGAACCAGTCAATAACATCGAAGATGTCGAAGACAAGAAAACGGTTTTGATGTTGATCGGATTCGCTGGCGAGCTTTTCATGAGTATGCTGAAGATGCTGATTCTTCCTTTAATTGTGGCTAGCTTGATTTGTGCGTTGGCATCTCTTGACGCGAAAGCTACCGGCCGTGTTGGAAGACGAGCTCTTGTTTATTATTTATCGACGACCATCTTGGCAGTCATTCTTGGAATAGTGTTGGTAGTGGCCATCAGGCCTGGGGAAACTGACGAGGAAAAAACTGGGAAGAAAGAAGTACAACCTGTGAGAACCTTGGATGCATTTTTGGATCTGATCAGGTAATTTATCACAATACGCAGTTAATAATTTTTATTAGAATTTTCCACATTAAACTATCCATTTAAATTAATGGCTTTAGTTATTTCTTTTGCCCTTAGGGTCACGTCAGGGTGCGAAATGTCGTTTCGACTTGTTTATGAAGGTTTATGTTTGTTAAAACGAGTATTCTGACTCTTACGTGACACTGATACCACTAAAGTGATATGAAAAAGATCCTTATCTTTACATTATAAACTTATTGCTACAGTCTTATCGCAAAGGAAAGAAGTTTGAAATTTCCGGAGAAACCGATATTGCTGTTTTATGTCCATAAAGGAGTTGTTTACTTTTCTTGTAGAGCGAAAGAGCTTTTGTTATTCATTAAGTCGCAATTTTATCACGATTTAATCGATCAAATATAATCCTTGCGATCCTAACTGGATCTGAATTTGGCAAGAGAAAACCTTTGGTGTCAGTCGTATGAGGACACTGAATATCGGTAGGAAGCACAAGTTTCCGAGCAGAAACGTCTGGAAATAGAAACAAATAAGTTTCAGCGGCGTTCAAAGTCACGAACTTAAATTGAATTTGAAATGACCCACACTTTTTAGTGGCTTTCTCTTTATATCTCGCGAACAGTTAACATTTTTTGAAATTGTGAATCTTTAAGTTTTTTTTGCGCGACTTTTTTTATCTCTATATAGTTTCTTAGCACAGTTTTCACAACAAATTATTCATATGGCGTGGGTTTGTTGACATTACAGCTATTGGGAAGAGCACTTGAAACAAACAAAATGGCACATTTTCTGGAGAATTCTTATATCTCCAAGAAATACACTGATATCAGATTATTCGAAGCGAATATGTCAGGATTAACCTGTGAATAAGTATAATGAGTGGGAACTCTTCCTGCAGGAAATTTAATTGAAATTTGCAACATTTTTCGTAGGAAGTACCAGATTTTTGGTAGCAAATTTCCTGTTAACCATACTCGTCTTTCACTTGTATTATCAGGTTTTTGAAATGGATATTTTACGCGAATTTGAATCAATTTTCGTTCAAAATATCAGGTTTTTGCAGGAAATTTCTTTTTGAGCTGAATTATTCTTTGGAGGAAATAACTATTCATTTCGTTCAATTTCCTTAATTTTCTTGAATTTCTGCCTAATTTGAATCATGTCTTTGCTGAAAATGTCTCTCCAGATTTTTTCGCAGGAAATATCATGTTAATTTGAGAGATTTTTCACAGGAAAATTTAAGGTTTTTCTTTAGCAGGAAGTTGCTTTGAATACAATTCAGCATATATCAACTGCCCAGGATTAACAACTTCATTTTGTAAAAAATCACCAAATCAAAGAATTGTTACAGAGTTACATTTAAGGTCTGAAAGAAACTTGAGTGGAAGTAAAGAGAAAGTTCCAGTTACAAGAATTTAATTGTTATCATTCAATCAAAAGTATTCATTAATTTGAAATTAATTATCATTAAAATTTCCTTACATATTTCCTTTTACAGGAGCTGTTTCCCAAGTAACATAGTTGCAGCAACCTTTCAGCAGGTATAGTAAACATTGAATAAATTAACCCTTAAACTCCCAAGATCTGATTGTTAACTCTCCTTTCTAATTGCTACACATTTCCTTGTAAATAAGTTATGAGAATTCAATGGTAGATCAAGATGACAACTTCTACCTGATACATTTTAGTATTCTCATTTCCTGTTTGCTGGATAGTGCATGAATATTGTGGGGAGAAGTCAATTGTTAATAACCTTTGGGAGTTAAAGGGTTCATTAAGATGAAATGATAGCTAAGTGGTTGTAATGTTTTCCGTTGATCTGTCCTGTGCATCAAGTCTGTTTTATTCATGCATACCCAAAATAGTTTCATTATTCTTTCTGGAACTTATGGTTATTTAATTTTGTTACCAATGTTTGCATGTGAGCCAAATAATAGCCATTATATTCCACTTTCTCTTTTGTTAAGCCACAGAGAGTTTTCTCGGATTGCATGCTAATCCATCACCATTAGCACCCCTCTCCTCCATCCCAAGTACTTTTTTTAGGGTTAGGTCACAATTAAATGTACTAGGTAAGATTATTTTTCCTAGTATTTGGGAGGCATATGACTTGCATAAATCTTGTTAAAGCTTCTTTCCTGTCACTTCCTAAATTGCTGCTCATCTGCATGGATAATTTTTTTCTACTTGGATTTATAAAATGGTGGGCATCTTTCTAATTAATAAAAAATTTGACCATATTGCTTCTTTTTCCTAAATCCTTCAAAAGTTTTAGAAACAAATAACCTTTGGAGAATTACTTTTCTGACTAGTGATTAGATCTTTGAACAATACTCATTGAAGACATTTTTGTTTGTGTCAGAAAAAAACCAAATATGCAACGAGTGAGCCAGTGTATAAAATGGAAAATACGACATTTCCAAATGGATCAAGGGCAATGCAGAAGGTCATGACCAAGAGTGGTTCCAACACTGTTCCTAATGGGCTGATGGTGGATCCAAAGGGATCAATCAATGTCTTAGGACTTGTGGTGTTTTCCATTGTGTTTGGAATTGTTTTGGGAAGAATCGGTGAGCGCGGCATGCCCCTGAAGGCTTTCTTTGAGGCACTGAATGAGGTGATCATGAAGATGGTGACATTGGTCATGTGGTAAGTGATAAGGCCAGGCTATAAAATGTTTTTTTACTTAATAATGAGTGTATTAATGAATTTATTGAAAAAAAAAATGACATTTGCCCTAGATCTCCAAGTGTATGCCTTTACATGGCCTTCCATTATCCTATTGAATCTAAAAAATATCACATAAAATTAAAATACCTTATGTCAGGAGTAAGTTATTCAATGTAAGGATGAGTCTCCAGGAGGAGGAAAGGTGTACAGGGAGCGCACCCCCCCCCCCCCCCCCCTGAGATGAGCTGCAGCTTTCTCATATAATTTCAGGGTTATAAATTCTTAGCAGTTTACATCATGTTATTGCTTAGTGATAAGCTGCCTTCTTCATTATTTGCTTTTAAAATTTATTTACATCACCTATCAGTAACCTCATTCCTTAGTGGGGTACCCCCCCTCCCACAAAAAGTCCAGAATTCTTTCCTGCGCTAGAAGTATTACTGACTAAATACCTGTCCTGTCTGGGCTAATTGGTGTTTTAAACCCTACTATTATTTGATAATTAGGGATGCCAAATATTGAATGAATAAGCACACACTCAAATTAAGACAAGGGATTGATTTTTGGGATATATTTCCATTAAAGAAGGTCACTTCTCCTGTACTGTCTTTAAAAATAAATTTTAGTTATAAGGTATACAATGTGAATTACAATGATTTAACTTTTTAACTAGAGTCACTAGCATCTAATTTCTCCTTACAATATCACCCCCAAAATCACACATAAAGGTCACCAGAAAATAGGAAATGATCACCAGTGAGAGAAACTCTAGATTGTTAAACAAATTCCCCTTGTCAATACCTCAGGAAACACATTGAGAACTGTATGGAGAATATGTCTTCTGACGTTCGGGTGTAAAGGGTTAATTCATTTGAGTTGTGTCGTAAGATTTCTGGTATTAAAATCAATATAACTTCACCTCTGTTTCAAAAGTTGATAAACTAATTGTCAAAGTTTGTTTGCAGGTTTTCTCCAATTGGTATCTGCAGCCTAATAGCAGCAAAAGTGGCAGCAATGGCTGACATCCTTGAGTCATTAAATATGGTTGGCATGTACATGGCAACAGTGATAGCAGGCTTACTGATCCATGCAATAATCATTATTCCAGTGCTGTATCTGATAGTAGTGCATAAGAATCCTCTGAGATATTTTCTTGGTTTGAGAGATGCCATAATCACAGCATTTGGAACCTCCTCAAGGTGTGTAAGAGTATGAAACAGAGAACTAAATGTTTCTTTTTTTATCACAGTGTGTTGCAACTTCCAGACGTGATCAATATGTAACTTCTCCACACAATGTCTGTATATTTTCCAGCAAATAGGTAGAGAGTATAGATCATTCAGCTTATTAGCCAGAGAGGGGAGTGAAGGGTTACAAGAGACGGGAAGTGAAGGGCATTATTGTGGACAGGAAGTAAGAAAGAAATGTCCAAATGCCAACATTAAGTGTAACACTTAATCTGCTGAATTTCATAATGAAGGATACAGGAGAAGTGAGTTAATGTTAAAGGCTGGGAAGTAGAGAACACTAGGGTACAGAAAGCTTAGATCACCCTTTGGCTGATATTGCATGTACGTTAGGTAAATAATTTATTTAGTGGTTATAGCTGCATCACCTCATATTTTAATCAAAACTGCCCAGTTGAAAGTTCTACTGCTCTGCGCTTTTCTTTTAGCGAGTTAGCCATATGTTCACTTGTGACTCTGAGTTGGTAACTTCCTTTATTAGTCTTGAATTAATTGACTTAAAAGCTCAGAAAGGGAAGTTGTTTGGTTTGGAAAACCAATGGCAAGTTGATAATTTTAAAATGTTTTTTTTCTTTATCTTTCCAGCTCTGCAACTCTGCCAACCACCATACGTTGTCTTGAGGAGCATAACAAAGTTGATGCCCGCATCAGTCGTTTTGTGCTACCTCTTGGTGCAACAGTAAATATGGATGGTACAGCTTTGTATGAAGCTGTTGCTGCTGTGTTTATTGCCCAGGCCAATGGCATCACTCTGAATGTTGGACAGCTGATAACAACATGGTAAGCAAGGGGTAAAACTAGGAATGACAGAAAAAAAAATTCTCCTCACAGCAGCTATGCATTTTCACCTAGAAAAGTGACAAGAAAAATTTAAAAAATTCATCTGGGAAATAATGTTTGATTTATCACCAAATTTTTAAAGATAAATACTGTTCTCTATACATTTCCTAAAGTGCTGATTGGGAGAATTTGTGTAATCCTTTAACCCCTAAGAGTGACAAGCATCTAATTTCTCCTTACAATATCACCCTGAATCATGCAGTAAGGTCATGAGAATAAAGACAATTATAAGCAGCTAAAGAGGCTGTAGATTGTTACACAAATTCTCCTTGTCAGTGCCTAAGAGAATGTATGAGAAACAGTATGGAGAATACCTTTCCTGATATTAGGTTGTAAAGGGTTAACAATCTACATCCCCTTTAGTTGGTGATCAATTTGTTTATTTTCATTCACCTTCATGTTTGATTCAGGGGGGCGGGGATATTGTAAAGCAAAATTAGATGTTAGTCACTCTTAAGGGCAAAAGGGTTAATCGCCCAGAGCACTAAAAATTTACATGGACAGGGTTCGAAACTTAAGGTGAACCTCTTGATCTGCTCTTCAATGTCCCAAATGTTTACCTTTAAGTCACCATGTGCTCTCTGTACACAGTAGCTTTACTAAAAGTTATTTATGTCCATCTTCCTGTAGTTTCACAGCCACTGCAGCTTCTATTGGTGCCGCAGGAATACCACAAGCAGGACTGGTTACCATGGTGCTGGTCCTCCAAGCTGTCAATCTACCCACTGATGACATTGGTCTCATCTTAGCAGTGGACTGGTTTTTGTAAGCTATTGTTTCAGTTAAATTTTCCCTTTTTTAGAAATATATTTATAAAGTGACTTCCATTTGTAAATGGTTTAAGATAATTTTTGCTGCAAGGAGTAAAATCATCAATTTCTGGTCGCAATGTAAATGAAAATAAAATACACTGCTTAGAAAACATTGAATTTAGTCAGGTAACAAATGGCTTGACCTTAAGTAAGTGGTTCAGTTCCTTGGCTTTGTTACAGTTAACCCTTTAACTCCCATGAGTGACCAACACAGAATTTCTCCTTACAATATCAATACAATATCAACCAGATAAGTGAAGAGAATAAAGAAAAATATCAATTTGGGAATAATTCTTTGATCCAATACTAAATTCTCTGAACTAACGTTATAAGAATTGTATGGTTGACAGTAAGGAGAATACAAATTTGATCTGAGAGTTAAAGGGTTAATGGTTTGGACCAAGGGGTAACATGTGAGATCTACTGGGTTGTGATTTACCACAGAATGTTGGGATGGATATGAATTGACCAGCAGGTCAGGCGTGAACTGGCACAAACTGGGTTAGAATCAACTGAATTTGGGTGCAAATTGAATGAGTGCAAAACATCTGTGGATTAAAAAATTAAAGAATATCTTATGCAGTAGTGATGGACTTTTTTGAAAATCTTTGTGGTGGTCATAAGTGGAGTTGAGGAATTCATCAGTCATGATCAAAAACTCATCATCATCAGAGTCAAGTTATGTCTTCCACTAAGGTTGTCAAGTAGGCATAGACCTGATAAACATGGTTGTTGACTTATTTTGACAATCTTCTTTTTCCTTGGCATATGGTATCTTATGAGCTGATACTTGAATGTGTGAGCTAAATTTTGCACAATTCTCATTCATGGCTGTAGGGATCGTACCCGCACTGCTGTGAACGTCATTGGTGATGCCTATGGGGCTGGTATTGTTGAGCACCTGTCCCGCAATGACCTGATGTCAATGGATTACACTGCACGAGAAGAGGACATTCCCATGGAACAGTTTGACAGATACACACCAAAACCTGAAGGTACCAATGGTGTACATACAAGTGATGCATCCCTGCGTGCAACAAACTTCTAAGAGTGCTCTGGCCAAGCTGTAACTGGATAATAAGCTCCACTGTAAAAGTTTTAAATATAACGGTTAATTATTATAGTTTGTAACTTAAGAATGGATGTAATGGAAGATTTGTTTTGTTCTAACATGGTTAGCTTTCCTTTTTTCATCAGAAGTAGCAGGTTTTTTATTTTAAGGGCATCATTAAACCCTTTTAACTTGCAAGATCTGGTTGTCAATTCTCCTTGCTACCTACTACGCACTTCCTTGTAAATTAGTGACAAGAATTTGGTGTTAGATCAAGATAATGTCTTCTACCTGATAAGTTTGAGTTTTTTTCATTTATTTACTTGTTTGCTGGATAATGTAAGGATATTATTGGAAAAAATTGCTTGTTAATCACTTCTGGGAATTGAAGGGTTATTAGTAATTAAAATTATAATAATCAGTGCACTGAGAAAAGTAAACAACTTTTTGTAATGACTTTGTTAACTCTTCACTTGATGGGGCTTTCCAGGGCCATTGTAGATAAAGAATAAAACAAATTTTCTAAATAGACGTGAATTGTTTAAAATTCACAAATTGCTAAAGGAAGACTGATCGGCTATTTACAGACTGCAGGAAAGTAGTTAAACTTGGGGATACATAGAAAAAAATACACAGTAAATGAGGGTAACCCGTGGGAAACGCATGATAGTGTGGTCTTATTGTCTGGGTGAGTGTTGTCCTGATAAGGACTGTTGACAGTAGTAATGGCCAATGTCTTAACAACCTGAGCGGAAGTCATCATCAGAATTAAGTGAATGGTTGTTGTTGGTCAAAAAGTCTGGTTCATTTTAACTGATCGGTTAGTTTTCCCATGATGTTGTTGGCTGCAAGACTCAGGTGGAGAGTGAAAAATTTAGTGTGTATTAAGACGGCATGCAAAGACCGAGTGTGAAGTTCATTCAGCAATTGATGTTATGCCTACTTATAAGAATACAGAAGTAAGTAATTCAGGCAGTAGTTTAGGCAAGCAGTACAATAAACCTAGAATTTCTAGCAGGGTAGTTTCTGTAATATAATTTTGCAAAGAGCAAAATGTCTTGTAGGCAAGTAGTATAGTACACCTATACAAACTATATCCAAAAGGTTTCTTAAATAAAAATAAGGTGTGGTTGGTGTAATGTTGGTCTCTGATTCTAGCTTTACTTTTAAGTATTGAATGCAAGTCTTATTTAAAGTGTGCTTCAGGGCAGGTGCTTCAGGACTCTGACTTTACTTTAGTTACTTCATTTTTTGATATAATTATATGTTTTTCACAATTTTTTGTAATGAGGAGTCCCTATGATGCCTCTTAACCCTTTACACCATAACCTCAGTATCCGTTTTCTCCATACACTCTTCTATACATTTCTTTTGGTGCTGACAAGGAGAATTGGTTTAACAATCAAAGTTTCTTTAGTTGGCAATTTTTTCCTTTATTCTCATGATCTTAATGAATGATTCCGCAGTATTACTGTAAGGAGAAACTAGATGCGGGTCACTCTTGGGGTTTAAAGGATTAATATAACAGATACATCTATTCAATGATCAATCCTGGAAATGTCTCATTGCCAAGCCATATTTCCAAGCTGCCTTCGGATCTAGAAGGAGTTTTGTCAAGATGAGCAAGTTGAAATGCCTGAGGTTACAATGGGGATTAAATCAAATTCACCCTGGTCATCCGGTGCAAGAAGATTTCCTTGTTCTAATATAGCAGCTATTTTTTTGCTCACCTGGCCATTGAGCAAAAAACTCTGGTCAAGCCACATCTCAATCAAATCCCAAACAACATGCTGAATTTCCTGTTCCTTTTCCTCCAAAGATTTCAATAAAGAATCTCCTTATGGTACACAATACATCTGTTAGAGTTTGGGTTCCGAGAATTTGGCTTTTAATCAAACTATATTCTTCTGCTTATTTTACTTCTATATTTTCATCAACAAGAATGAGACTGCTTGGCAATGCAGTTATTTAATAATTTGAATCGGTCATGCTTGGGATGAGAAGGCAAATTGTCAATAGCCATCCTAAGTCAGTAATCAAACACTGTTAGATAATTCTGATTGAAGTAACATCTCAGTCAGAACAGAGATGGTTTCTACATAAGGTGTACAGGTGTCTCTGCTATGCCCTGACAGTTCAGAGGTAGACCATCAACATAACCCTTTTGCTTTCAATTAAAGAACTGCCTCTTTCTCAAAAGTCCTTGATTTCACCCATGGATAAATCAGTTCTCCTTTGGCCAATTTCTTGATTAACAACAGCCAATCCTGTTTGTATTCATCTTGATCTGGGAACTTTTCAAGCAACTGCTGAGTAAACAGTTTTGTGATGGGAAGTGGTTGATTGTGAAGAATTAGTAAAACAGTTGGTGAAGGAGCTGTTATGTCCAGAGGAAAATCCTGCAGTGTGTTGAGTTCTGCTTCTGAAGGAGCCAATGAGTTAACATATTCAAACTTGATGCCTCCTAAAGAAAATCAATAAAAATTACAATGTTATATTAGTTGACATTAGAACAGATGTGGAACATTTTGCCCCTTGGGTTAGAAAAGTTAGGGAAATTCTACATGAAAGGATGTCATCCCAAGATAGTTTGGATTTCATGGTCAGATACACTGATTAAACACCATCTGCATTATGGAAGTACTAATTTCAATATTTACCTGGTATCAGATCTGGTCTGAAGAAAGCAGTGATCAGTGGAAACACTGGTAGATTATTCATCATACTGATGATTCTATTGACAGCACCCTTCACAAACAGGACAATCAGTCGCAGGGTGGTAAACACAACGTAGTACATGGCAGTTGTCGGCAACAAGAAGAGGAGGATGGTAAAGCACAGGGTTCCTAAAAACAGTCTGTCCACCCTGTATGGAACAATGTCCTCTTGATTCTTTTCAACATTCCATTTTCTACCTGATGAACAAGTGAAAGAAAAGCATGCTTTCAGTTTGTCACAACTTAAAAGTAAATTTCAATATAGGACTTAACATCTTCATTCTCGAATAGTTTTCTATCAACTCTCCTTGAGGCTTTGATCAGCACACTCAGGTCCTGTAAGCTGTCCAGGGAAGAATTGAGATAATTCATATCTCTATGCTGTTGCTTAAATAATTTCAGGTTTAAATAATTTCAAACTTATTTGATTTATTTTGTATTTCCCCAGAAATATCAAAATGTGCTTAGAGCAAAGGAGAAAACAAATAAAACCATTTGAATCTGACTTTCATTTTTAGCTACAACGGTTAAGTTGTGGTTCAAATTTTTCCTTACTTAAAATATTTTCAAACTTGTTAAATTTAGCTTTTTTCCCCTCAATTCTATTGGTATAAGCCAACACAGAGGATAAAATCAACTTGATTAGATAACCAGCTCCCCCCTCATCCCTGTCAAAAAATTCTGACGACAAATGAAATTAATTTCCTTTCTTCCACAGAAAAGAAATGTATCCATATCTACTTTAGTACAGAAGATCTTTAATCTAGGAGCTCAAGAATCCTTTTGTATCTCATAATCTGGGAGAGTCAGCATATATTTAATAGGTTAAACAAACCATCTCTAACCTGTAAATAGTTTAGCCAACAGCAACAACTTCTGTAGCTGGAAGTTATACAGCATTGCAGCATACACATAAAAGCAGTAGATATGGAGTGTTATCAAAGACATAACATCTGATGCCAAAGACAACAAGAATGTTGCTCCAAAACAACCTGACATGATGATAAAACTGATGATAATCTGAAGATACGGTTCAATATAGCTAAGGTAAATTTGCCAAAGAAACAGGTGATAAAGAAAGAAAATGCTCAAATATTCTGCTAGCTTTTGGTTTATTTTGAGCCCAGCTGGGGCTCCTTGTAGCCACTCCAGTAAAGAGGTAATCCACTGAACAACAGCATCAGTCTTTTCCATCATTAAGTCAGTAGCGCATGTGTTGTAACCATTTGAAAAGAGCCATAACACAATGAAAAGTCCCAACACAACATCAATTGCAACTGCACTAAGAAAACTGCCAAACCACACCACAGGAAAAACATTGCTCTTTATCCTTGCACCAGTCTTCATAGGTGAATTTCTTGACTCTGTTGAGTGGCCAGTATAATCTAGTTTGTCCTTTAGAGCTGTAGAATTGCTAAAACACAGCACCAGAGCTCTCATTTGCCTAACACGTGTACACAATTGCAGAAACACAGCAGATAATTCTGAAAAGAATTTGATTGTCTCAATTACAACTGGGTGTTCTTCCTGCTGCCTTTGATGAAACAAGGCATAAAACAAAATAACAACTTTCATGCCAAAGTTGGACAAAAGCCTCCAAATCTCGCGAATTGGTTTTCTAAGAGTTTCTGTTTGTGTTTCAAACAATCTATAAATACTCTCTTCTGCTTTGTGGGAGTTATTCAGAAGTTCAATGACGTTAGATAATTCTGTGGGGCACGTTTGCTCCAGCAACGCTTCTGATTTCCTCCAGAATTTAATGCCATCTGGAACTGCTGGTGAGGTGGTCAAAAACGCATTTCCAGTAGGTTGTTTGTAAAAAATTACCACAGATCCATTCGTTATCAACGAGTTTCCGACATGGCACAAATGAAAAGTGTCGGTGAACCTTATCAAACGTAGAATGAACAGTCCGTCAGTTAACGACCTGGACAAGGTTTTTAACACAGCAAACACTTGACCGACAGATTTCTCATCGTTATCATTTAGCCAAACTCCAACAAGGTACAAAGCACATTCGTCAAAAACTCGTTCGCAAAAACTGTCATAGATTTCGCGTGGATGGATGACTGATGCAGCGACAAAGGTACTTGTTTGTTCATTCTTCCAACCAAAGATGAAGCCACTTTTTGCTTTCAGGCAATGAAGAGGAAAATACACTTTCATGTTTCTGATATTTCAAGTCCTATTAAACAAGCGACTAAATACAGGAATGGCTCCGAACTGTGATTGGATGATAAAAATAGTAAAAGTTAATAAGTTATATCTTAACTCCTTACTCGTGAGTATTGTTAACAACGTGTCTCAAAGCGGAACAATGAAATATCAATGCGAGTGAAAACACCGATGTGTCAAACAAGAAATGGTTATATACTTACGTAGCGAAGGGAAGGCAGCCTTTCTTGTTCAGCGAGGTCGTTCAGCGATAAAAAAGTCATCTGCTGACTAGCTCCGCTGACTAAACTCATATAGTCAGTTCAGGCGGACGACCAGAGACTGGAGCCATTCCTGTATTTCACCGCTGACAGGAATAGCTCCGACTCAAACGTTTAATAATTTTTGTTTTTCAATCATTTTTTAATAATTATTTAAACAATTTTTAAAAAAATTTAAAACTAAACTAGTGAGCAGCGCTGTGCGAACAGTGGTTATAAAACTTCTTTATACTCTGACGCGTTTCGTCTAACTGTCGTAAACTTCTTCAGGGAGTTTTACAAGTTAACACTAAACGCCTATATTTGTAGGCCATTGTTAGCGGCTATTGCGGGGACCAATGATCATAAGCGCTTGGCTGGACCTACGGGCAGGAATAGGCAAAGTTGTGAAAAATTTGAAATTTCTTTTCAAATTTTTTTAGGCAAGGTAAGAAATATTTTTGGGAGCTACGGTTTTAGCTAAAAATTTTCAAATTTGAAAAATTGAAGCGGTTTTTTGCAGATGACGCCTGGAAAGCAGTTGGCAAATTAAACTTCACCTGTAATTTCATGCTTGCACAATTGATAACTATTATTGTTATTTTTAAGCTTGTCGTTAATTTTATACTGGCCTTTGTCAAGCAAAGGGTCAAATCTGGACTTCAAAACCACAATGGATATCCTGGTTTACTGATGTGAGTACAGAATTGATTAATAGAGCAAAAAGGTTAAGGCTTATATTGGAGGTAAACACCATATAGTCTGATCATTGTGTACTTTTAAGTAGTTGTACCCAAGTCTAAGTGACACCCAGCTACATATACTTTTTTCAAAAAAGTTGCTACTTGTAATACTTAAGGAAAGGGGATGTGCTACTGGTTTGAATGGCATTTTCATGACTCTCTTAGTTATAATGGGGTTATTTCTATTTATCTGTTTTATTTATTCATTCATTTATTTATGTTTTCCTCCACTGAGCCATTTGGCTCTAGTGTGACATGTGCTCAGAGGGGGCTTGGAGTAAGAGGCTTGCAGCTGGATTGCGGGTTGGGTAGGCCAGTCGAGTGTTCTAGCACCTTGGGGTGTGACTGTGGTTGCAGTTCCTGGGCACCTTGGGCACCTAGCCTCCATTTTTGATGTGGGTGTAAACTTGATATTAAGTCATTTCTCTATTTATTTGGAATATTTATACAGGCTGGCTCAGTTCAGCTTTTAAAAGCAGGTTTACATTGCCTCTATAAATGATAACAAGGCCAGATGACCACACTGGGAACCACATTCATTACTCTTTGTTGAAGTCTGTGAGTTCTTTTACTCTTTAACTCCCAAGATCTGATTATTAATTAATTCTCCCCTCAGTAGATGCTGCACATCTGCATATTCATCAGTTATGAAAACTTTTGTGTTAGATCAAGAAAACATCCTCTACCTCATCAGTTTGAATATTCTCATCACCTAACACTCAAAACTTCAACTTTTAAACTCTTTGCAGTGGCCAATTTACATTATCAACTCAGTTAATAATTCAAAATTACACTGCTATACTCTCCCCCTGTTGCAGCACCACAGTTTCTTAAGAAACTTACCCCCTTTACCTGCACAGCAATCCAGCACTCAACATGAGCTAGCAGAAAAAAAAGATTCCTCTGTTTTAATTAATAAAATATACATGACTGATTGTTATCACTGAGTGTTATCACCATCTAATACAGGTCAACGACAAAAGACAAACAAGAAAACAACATTGGACCTGAAATTTTTTTCAGGTCCAATTTACAACTACTCGTTTCAGTAGTGTTCTTAGCTGCGAGGATCCCTTAACTTCATCTCTCCACCGCAGTGCAAATATATGAATTTTCATATATCTAAAATCATCATTCACTTGGATGTTTATTTGTACCCAATTCATTGACCAGCTCCCAGTTGGCTTGTTAGCTCAATTGGTAGAGCGCTGCACCGGTATCAAAATGATGTTACAGCGTAAAAACAGAACAATAGATTAGAATTCTAACAATTAGACCTCTTGGTAATTAACCAACAAAAGATTTTTCTTGTGTAATTTTCTTGTGTAATATTTGTCAGATACAAACAGTCCTATAGAAGGATGATAATCTGCAATTCGTTGAGGACATTTGAACTCTAAATACTGACATTGATTTTGGGAGACAAATATGGAATAAATTTTACTTCAGACAGAATTTGTCTTTTTATTCGAGTGATTCCTCCCTAAGTGACCGTTCCATACAACCCGAACAGGCTGATGGGACTCAGTTAAGGATAAGACCACTGCTGAAAAGTGTTGAAAGTGACAATGCATAAGAGGAAAAAATGCGCGAATTTGACAACCGACCGCTTAATACAGGTTCGACTATGAATTCCAAATTAGCCAATCAGCCCACGCGAAGAGCTCCATTCGCCTGTTTGGTATGTTATAAAAAAACCGCTCTAAGGTGGGTAGATGGAGCAGAGTTATGAACCACAAAGAGAAAATCTAAGAAGACGAAAGAAGTCTAAGTCCAGCAATTACTCAGGGAAATTCTTGTCTTGACCTTCTGAAATCGTAGCTCTAAGATTCTTGAGAATCCGTCCTCTAACCACGTAGCCGTCTACACTCCCAACCCGGGGGAAACACGGAACCTCAACCCACCCTTCCCCCCTTCCCATGGCTCTTTTTTAAAAACGATTGTAATATATGCTATCGTCAGTAGAGATGTTCCGATGAAACAATTACGTTGTCGCAGTTCTTTAGATCTGGGGGAAAGTCAAAATATAAGGGCTTACTGACTTTTTGGATCTGGTACAAGGACTTTAAAGGGGGAAGGAAATTTATCCTTGCTCGCCCTCACTTCGGTGAATATCTCGCGTTAACTTCATTAAGCATCTCAGATTAAACGTAACAGGAATGCCTAGCGACAACGCTCTCCCCAGGCCCGTCTCTCTCAGGTTGATCCTTACTTCCAGGATTTTGCTACGGCTTGTTTTTCCCGGTTTTCCTTACTCCTCAAAAACCAGCACTCTAAATTCGAGTTGCAAATACCACCTTCTAAAACAGTTTTTATTTCACATCTTGCATGTCACCCAGTCGAGGGTCTCCATGGGGTTAACCGTTAGCCGTAAACCGGTCAAAAAACTAGCTGTTAGGCGTAAAAATTGACAAATTTGAACCCTTAGTTGTAGAAAAAATTAACTTTAAAAATCTTTCCCTCCTACAATGTGTTATTTAGTGTTATTCTGGGTTAGCCGCAGCAGAAAAATGGCCACAATTTTAACCGCTAGCCGTAAAAAGTTTATATAGGTCAGCCCTCAGTTTTAAGAAAGTTTCAGTTTTTTTAGGAGACTGTTTTAGTTAAGTTTGCAATCGTGGAAAAAAAATCATAAACATTTTCTGCACACGGGGAACCACACCGACCTAGGGTACCTCCCATGATGAGAGCGCTTTCTATAAACAGAATAATGCACCATCTCCCAAAGTGAAAGGTAATTTCCTTTTTCTTGCCTCTTCAACAATATATATGACTAAACATCATGTCGTTTTTCATGCTAAAAAAACGCGTCGCGTGACATCCTAAGGAACGGCTGCCAATGAAACTGGCAGATATAAAATCTGAAAATATCGAAGTTTATATCTCGTTTAATAACTCTATCCAAGAAAATGGGCAAAAGTTGAGCGAATAGGACATAGGTGCGCTCTCTACTCCAAACGAAAAGATGTGACAAAACATCATATCTGTCACATAACGTGCTAAAGAAGTGCGTCGCGTGACATCCTGAGAAACGGTTGCCAATGATCGATAGTAGCAGTTATAGAGTCAGAAAATATCGAAGTTTATCTCTCATTCAATAAACTTATTGAAAGAAATGGGCAAAAGTTATTAAGCGAATAAGACATAGGCGCACTCACTACTTCAAACGACAAGAAATGACTTATGCAGGTTGATGCAGGAATTTTCTTCCCTTTGTTATTGATTTCCTCTTCCATTCTAACAAAATACCAAGCGACTTGTTTCATTGTTTGACATTCAAATGTTACTTTATTGTACTTAGATAATAAGTAAACAATCTAATCGGAGAAACTAAATAAATCATTTGGCTCCAATTTTTCCAGCTCGCTCTGAGCCTCCATCAATTCTTTGTAAGCCATAACTAAAATTATAAAATTAAACTTCTCGTTTTGCCTTTGGGCGATTAGTTTAAACAATTTACTTAAAATGCATCGTTCTGCTTGTAAAAAATAACACAATTTATCGCATTCAAAATTAAAGGAGAAATCTCAGAAAATTAACTAATATCAAGACTAAATCCTAAGTACCAATGACTGAGTATAAATCCTCGAAAAGTTCATCACAATTTCCATCTGACATAGACTAAGATAATCGAGCAAACGGACAACTTATTATTCTCCAGTTCCTATGGAAATTCTCTACACACGCATGTAATAGCTTTATATCACTCATGAGACTAAACTCTGTTAAAAAAACTCTGGAAAACGTTTTCAAGACGTTTCAACTTCGACTTAAATGTAACGCCCAAATCCTATCAGTAGAAAATACTTAGATTAAGAATAGCTTCTCACATAGCTAGTCAGGATAATTTTAAGACATCATATGAAAAAAACAAACAAACAAACAGTAGTTTGAGAAGGATATCAAAGATGAAGTTCGTAAAAGCAGGTCAGACAAGCAAAAAGGCAACTTTCTGAATCAATGGAAATCTGTTCTCTTGTTAAACTTGACTTTGGCCGTCTTTTGCTCCTTCCTGCTTTCAAAAGAAGACTCTTGACAAAGCTTTCATCGGTAGCTTACTGGTTTCTGGTCCAAATATCAGCATTTGTAGGTATCCGAAAACTCCCCGGGATTCCAATGCTCACTGCCTTAACTGAAAAATAAAAGAATCTAAGTTTAGGGAGGATAGTTGAGTTGCCATGAAATATTTCTTAGCACATGAAACGATACATTGCACAACAGGATTGTTTTTAAAGAAATTTTCTATTTTACTCCTATCATGTTTCCAAAAAAGAATGTTATTATCGTAAACGTGTCCACTTGATTGTACTGCATCTCGGTGTGCGAAGAGAAAATAAATTCGTAACCCAACTGAAAGGAAAATAACACGCACGTATCATTGCTTACATATGAGCAAAGATTATGATTTAATGAAACTTTGTATTGAATAGAATTTATCAACAGAATTATTACTTACTGCAGCCTCTAAATCTCATTGAAATCCAGGTTGACGTCGTCACCAATGAGTACAAATGGTGCCCAGTAAATCACCTCTTTGAACTTTTCAATTTCCCTCATACACTTCATGGCCTGATTGAGAGCTTCACTTGCCTTCTTGCCTTTGGAAAGTGCATCGTAAAAGAAACTCATGAACTCCAGGGTTCCCTCGTCGCCAATCGCCCACAAGGTTACCACAACAGATCTGGCACCGGCACCCAAAAGTGCACGCGCCATACCGACCACACCCTCGGCCATGACCTCCCCACGAGCAGTGTGACAGCAGCTAAGTACAACCAGACGTGCTCGCAACCCAGCTTCTATGACATCTTTCATAGTCAGTAGATAGTCTTTCTCTAGTGGCTGAGGGCTATCTCTTGTGGTGTTTGGTGCTAGGATAACTTCTCCAGTTTCCATTTTACCGTGCGCTCCTATGTGAACTAAGGCCACTGATGATATTCGTTTTAACACTTCATCTTTTGTTGCCATTTCTCCAGTGAGAGGGGAGACATTGAGGATACGTCCGATCATCTCCGCTTCTTTTCTTGCTCCTGGAAGTTGCATCAAAAGTGTGCCCTCATAGATGATGTGTTTGAAACATGGGTCGCCGACAAGCAATGCACCAGTCTTCACGTGAAAGTCTGCTGGACAATCATGAATTAGTTGCAAGGTCGTCAGAGAGGGAAGCACACGAATTCTGAGAGAATCACTTAGATATGATGAGTTGGAGTCCTGCAACGCTGCATAAGGTACAAGGCAAAATGGCCCTTCAGGAACGATTGTGATCTCGTCGTTGCCTTCGATGAGGTCAGCAATAGGAGTAACGATGATGTCATGCAGCTTCTTTAAAGCACTTGATTGGGAGTGCCTCACATCAACTCGGATCACATCATTGGCCACTTCCTCGTCTGTCCGAGGCGAGTCAAGCGGAGGATTTTCGATGGTAACAGTATCTCTTTTACTGATCTCCTTAAGAACAGCTTTGTTCAGTAGCTGGATGAATAATTCCAATTCATTCTCATACTTATATTTGTTTACGTGTACTACTCTCGTCTGGATATTATTTTCACTGAGGCAAACCCAGAAGCAAACGCAGGGTCCATTAATAGCTATGAAAACTGTGCTCAATGGAACCAACCTCAGAGAAGTGCGGGATGTGCTGGGCGTTAGAGAATCTCCAGGCTGATATTTTGTGACCATGAGATCTCTCAGAGCTTGGGCACGTCCTTTCTCTGTGGCAAGAAGAGCCTTCACAACTTGACTTCGATTGACATTTATACGCCACAAACCTTTGTATGCTCCTTGGTGCTGATTACGATAACAAATCTTCCACTGATCGTTGAGTTGAAGACTGGCCCTGATATCATCATACAATTCTACACTCGAGTAATAACAGTCAAAGGCCATCATAAGATTTCCTTGGCGCTCAAAACTGCTTCCAAGGGAACAGAGTGAGCACGCCTCTCCAGTCTTATCTCCCACTTCTTTGGATATTTCTAGGTGACGTTGAAAACACTCAATAGCTGTTTTCAACTCTCTTTGACCCTGATGAATCCTACCGAGAAGGCAATAACTTTTTCCCTCTCCAGCCTTGTCTCCCACTTCTTTAGCAATTTCTAGATGACGTTGATGGTACTCAGTTGCTGTTTTGAACTGTCGTAGACTTTGATAAGCGTTGCCGAGACTTCCATAACTGCTTCCCTCTCCGGCCCTGTCTCCCACTTCTTTAGCAATTTCTAGATGACGTTGATGGTACTGGATGGCTGTTTTGAACTGTCCTAGACCTTGATAAGCGTTGCCGAGATTGCCATAACTGCTTCCCTCTCCGGCCTTGTCTCCAACTTCTTTAGCAATTTCTAGATGACGTTGATGGTACTGGATGGCTGTTTTGAACTGTCCTAGACCTTGATAAGCGTTGCCGAGATTGCCATAACTTGTTCCTTCTCCGGCCTTGTCTCCCACTTCTTTAGCAATTTCTAGATGACGTTGATGGTACTGGATGGCTGTTTTGAACTGTCCTAGACCTTGATAAGCGTTGCCGAGGTTGCCATAACTTTTTCCTTCTCCAGCCTTGTCTCCCACTTCTTTAGCAATTTCTAGATGACGTTGATGGTACTGGATGGCTGTTTTGAACTGTCCTAGACCTTGATAAGCGTTGCCGAGATTGCCATAACTTGTTCCCTCTCCGGCCTTGTCTCCCACTTCTTTAGCAATTTCTAGATGACGTTGATGGTACTTGATGGCTGTTTTGAACTCTCCTAGACCTTGATAAGCGTTGCCGAGATTGCCATAACTTTTTCCCTCTCCGACCTTGTCTCCCACTTCTTTAGCAATTTCTAGATCACGTTGATGGTACTTGATGGCTGTTTTGAACTCTCCTAGACTGCAATAAGCGATGCCGAGATTGCAATAACTTCTTCCCTCTCCGGCCTTGTCTCCCACTTCTTTAGCAATTTCTAGATGACGTTGATGGTACTTGATGGCTGTTTTGAACTCTCCTAGACTGCAATAAGCGTTGCCGAGATTGCCATAACTTCTTCCCTCTCCGGCCTTGTCTTCCGCTTCTTTAGCAATTTCTAAATGACGTTGATGGTACTTGATGGCTGTTTTGAACTCTCCTAGACCTTGATAAGCGTTGCCGAGATTGCCATAACTTCTTCCCTCTCCGGCCTTGTCTCCCACTTCTTTAGCAATTTCTAGATCACGTTGATGGTACTTGATGGCTGTTTTGAACTCTCCTAGACCTTGATAAGCGTTGCCGAGACTGCCATAACTTTTTCCCTCTCCGGCCTTGTCTCCCACTTCTTTAGCAATTTCTAGATGACGTTGATGGTACTTGATGGCTGTTTTGAACTCTCCTAGACTGCAATAAGCGTTGCCGAGACTGCCATAACTTCTTCCCTCTCCGGCCTTGTCTCCCACTTCTTTAGCAATTTCTAGATGACGTTGATGGTACTTGATGGCTGTTTTGAACTCTCCTAGACCTTGATAAGCGTTGCCGAGATTGCCATAACTTTTTCCCTCTCCGGCCTTGTCTCCCACTTCTTTAGCAATTTCTAGATCACGTTGATGGTACTTGATGGCTGTTTTGAACTCTCCTAGACTGTCATAAGCGTTGCCGAGATTGCCATAACTTGCTCCCTCTCCGGCCTTGTCTCCCACTTCTTTAGCAATTTCTAGATCACGTTGATGGTACTTGATGGCTGTTTTGAACTCTCCTAGACCTTGATAAGCGTTGCCGAGATTGCAATAACTTGCTCCCTCTCCGGCCTTGTCTCCCACTTCTTTAGCAATTTCTAGATCACGTTGATGGTACTTGATGGCTGTTTTGAACTCTCCTAGACTGTCATAAGCGTTGCCGAGATTGCCATAACTTTTTCCCTCTCCGGCCTTGTCTCCCACTTCTTTAGCAATTTCTAGATGACGTTGATGGTACTTGATGGCTGTTTTGAACTCTCCTAGACTTGATAAGCTTGCCGAGATTGATAACTTGCTCCCTCTCCGGCCTTGCGTTGATCACCGAGTATTGGCTTTTTTGAACTCTCCTAGACCTTGATAACTTGCCGAGATTGCCCTCTCCGGCCTTGTCTTCCACTTCTTTAGCAATTTCTAGATGACGTTGATGGTACTTGATGGCTGTTTTGAATTCTCCTAGACCTTGATAAGCGTTGCCGAGATTGTTTCCATAACTTGCCGAGATTGCTTAACCCTTCTCTGGCCTTGTCTCCCACTTCTTTAGCAATTTCTAGACATTGTTGATGGTACTTGATGGCTGTTTTGAACTCTCCTAGACCTTGATAAGCGTTGCCGAGATTGCCATAACTTGCTCCCTCTCTGGCCTTGTCTTCCACTTCTTTAGCAATTTCTAGATGAAGTTGATGGTACTCGATTGCTGTATCGAACTGTGCAGCATTATGGTAAGTACATCCGAGACTAGCATAAGTGTTTGCTTTGACCTTTAGTTCAGTATTCGATTTCCTTTTTAATTGAAGCAGACGTTCGTTATTGTTGTCAATCTTAAAACGTGTCAAGGGTAACTATATCATGAGCGGATTTGCGAAAATACAATGGAAATATGTTTTAAAAATAATGAGAGTATTGGATAAAACCTTAAAATTGGAATGATAATTCGAGCGTGGTTTTCTTGAAGAGATTTGATTTCAAGTTATTCGAGAGTGTTAACTAGTTCTGAAGCGCATTTATTAGTTTAGATTCGGTCGTCATGGTGATGCTCATCTCAAGACAAAAACGAGGGGCATTTAGCAGAAACTCTGGGAATTAGTTAATATGGCCTCTTCTTTTAAGTAAAGTTTCGTCGAACAATCGAAAGAACTCCTTAATAATATTTTAGCTTCTTTAAACTGCTCAGTGCAGTATAAGAGAACATGGCTTGCATTATGTGTAGAAGAATCTGCCTGGAACGTATTTTTTTATTCTTGAAATATTATTCGCATTGCATCTCGTATCACGCTGGAAACATTCGTTAAAGGATACGGTCAATCCCATATGCAACCAGCTCCTTGCTTCTTTATACCAGCAAAGTTCGACACAAGCTCTGGCTCCTGAAAAGGAGAGAATAACTGGTGGTGCGAGGTAATTTATCACTGTTCAGGTATAAACGTATTGATAAAATGGATTTAATTTGTCATTTAGCTGGGAACAAAAATTGTGATAATGAAGGAAATTTGAACTTGTGGAAGAACTCAAAATGAACAATAAGGAGCTAATACAAAGCGGCTACCAATTAAGCTTCAATTTATGATGATAACGACGAATTTATCTCACGCATTCTTTATTTTAATGTGCTGTTATGCACTTTTCAGCATTTTTCGGGGAAGTTTTCGGGAAGACTGCATTGAGCAGTTTAACTCTTGATAGGGAATCTTTCAGGTGCTTCTTTTCCGGGTTTTGTAACGTCCCCTGCTAATAGTTACAGAGAAGATTTAGGAAACGGGGCTCACAGTTTTCCGTCCATATCCGTGACAAGAATATCAAACCATTTGCAGATGTCACAGATGTCTTGCCCTCAGATATTTTAAGACTCAGGGTGATGGTCCGGTCCAAAGCTTGAACCCTCGACCTCCGGCGCTCTACAACGTGAACTAATCAGGCAGCGGTATTTGAGAGCTTATTGACATTTTCTTATGCTTTATACCCACATAACAGACATTGACACACCAGATACAATTGACACTTGGAGTGCAGTTACCACACAATCCTCTTTTGACGAAATCAGAGAATAAAATTTTGATGGCTTATGTCTGAAAAACCTACCTTTCTTAATAGCTTTGATGAAAGTGGGTTCCAATTGAACAGCAACTGTTGCATCATCCAGACATTCCATGTAGTTTGCTATGAGATTCAGGAAATGAGGTTTAAAAAAGTTTCATCCAATGAAATTGCAGCAAAGAAGCCTGAAAAATTACAATTGCTTAAATTGCAGTCTAATAACGAGAATCATTTCTTTTCTTAATTTTCATCCACTAAAGCGGGATTCATGTATTTGTGCTTTTCCTCTGCTGTTGCTCAACTTCTTTCTTTTCTTGATGCAGATTGTGTATTCCGTTATCTTGTAACGCTGCATGAGAGATTTATATATTTAGAAATGAAATTGTTACCCAAACGGAAATGAGCTGTTGCCCTGTTACTGTAAAGCTTGGCGTTGAGTCGTTTATCTTTGCAGTTCACATGAAGTCCTTCCGTGTAAGAGTTTATCGCGTTATTAGCTTCTCCTTGTCTGTATTCTTTGTTACCTTCCTCGAGACATACTTTCGCTATCCCTGAAAACATACCGTTTTAATGATTTAGTAATGATTTAGTAATGAGTAATACGACCCTTGACCGATGATGCAAACTTTATACTTCCAAACAAACTTTTAGGTTAAAGGAACTTAGAGCTATGAAAAACGAAAAATTAGAAAAGTTTAATATCTGTACACTTTGAAATTAGAAGATCCTCGCAGCTAAGAACACTACTGAAACTAGTAGTTGTAAGTAGGACCTGAAAAAAATTTCAGGCCCGTACGGGATTTGAACCCATGACCTCTGCGATACCGGTGCAGCGCTCTACCAATTGAGCTAACAAGCCAACTGGGAGCTGGTCAATGAATTGGGTACAAGTCAATTGGTAGAGCGCTGCACCGGCATCGCAGAGGTCATGGGTTCAAATCCCGTACGGGCCTGAAACAAACAAACTCCTTTTACAACTGGCTTACGTTTTCCAAAATAACAAAAATTTTACCGGGAACTCCTATTTCAACTCAAATTTGTTTACAATCGCACTTCAGAAGAGTTTATCTTTGCTCTTTGTTTGTTTAAAAATATACACATGCTCTATTAGAGGTTTTAGCTGTAGCTTGGCTGTAAGCAAATCAAGTCTGTTCGGTTTACATTTAGATAGAGAGATTTTCCAAAAACCCTTTTACACCTCGGTTACGTTTTCCCAAATATCAAGTTAGAATATAAAACCCCATAATTAGTGCATAAAGCAGAGCAAAGCCAGGAACGAAAAAGTTAAAACTTGTGAATGTTCTGTTAAAAAAAAAAAAAAACATCGCGCTGAGAGTGACCAGGGTTCGTGGTTTTCCCATCGTTCAGAAAAGTGCGCTAAAAAAAAAATGTTTTTTGTTGCTGTTGTTTTTTGATCACTTGGTTTTTCTCATACATGTAACTGTCTATTGAGAACATACTCTTAGAGGCCAACTGGAGAAATCTGATTGGGAAAGTACTGCTTTCCCGCGAAGTGCCATTTTGCCTGATGTGAAAGTCAGGGGTTCTATATTTTGTTGACTGGTGGTTTATAGCGTGGGCCTGGTGTTGACATAACTGTCTAACGAGGCGTGAAATATTTAGAAGACCAAAACAGGCGATACGGCCGAGACAAAATGCCTCCTTTTCGCTGTAGAATTCTCAAATTGAGTAAAATTTCTGCCAAACATGCATTGAACAATAACGGACAAACAGGTGTTAGCATAACTTTTAGTCAAATACTTTCTTCGTGGCGGCCTCAAAAAGTTATCCGTTTGCCATTTTTTTCAGCCAACAGCTCTCTCTCGCCGAAAACGACTTTCACATTGAAAAAAAAAAGCAAATTTAGAGTATCTTCAAATTCAAAAGGAAAATACTTCTACTTAGCAAATATTATTCATTTTAGGTGAAAATTGTAGCTACATCTTTAATCTTTAAAACGCCGTGCGTTGATTTGGAAGGAAGCACTTCTAAAACTCAGAAAACTGAGTTATACAAAGCCTAGTGGGCCAAGTTTGACCCATTCTTCTCTAATTTAGGGCTCTTCAAAGCGAAGTCGCGTTCAAATTTGCCGCTTTGTGGCTTGTAAATAATTAATGATGTCATCGTATTCTGCTCCATTGGATCGAGCAATAAATTTTTTTTTTGTTTCGTTTTTATTTTACTGGTAACAAAGTTTGAAATTTTAAGATATTTTGCTGCTTCAAAAACTCATTCACAAAACATACGCAAATTTTGATGTAAATAGGACAAAAAAAACTTCACTGGGACGTCTTTCAAAAAATCTTACTTCACCTGGTTTTCTTACCTCTTAAAGGGTCATTGTATACATCCAGTTCAGCGTCACTTGACGTAACTTGACTTTCCTCTGTTGCTGAAATTACCGAGAAGATATTTCAACTTTGTTAGTGATCACAACTATGTGCAATTACAACTAGCGTTCTAATACTGACGTATTTAATGGATTCCTTTACAAAGTTTAATTCGAAATGATCCAAAAAAATTGCACCAGAATCAAGATATACTTAATTAACAAACAGTACAAAATCACCACAACGAAGTGTCTCCCTGTTGCTTTTTCTCACCTGTGGCTGGAAACTCATTTTTCACCTCCAGTTTTTCTCCCGTTGCTGGGAGGCTGCTTTCTGCCATAGCTAGAAATAAAATAGAATCGATTGTACTGCGCTACATTGTTTAAAATCAAAAGAGGAGACTCAGATGAAAGTAACCTAAAGAAAACATTTTATACTTAATCATAGAGAAAGAATGAGAATCTCAAAGTTTCCTCCGTCACGCTATTGTGATTGCGTGACAGCTCCAGTCAAGTTCCGCGGGTTGTGTCATGTTTGTTTTTTCAATTGTTTGTTTATTTGTTTGTTTTCGTAGTCTCATCTGATGAAACGTCGTTCAGGGCTGTCCCTTATCAAAGTGCGGAGTTTCTATAAACAACCTAGTTGTACTCGGTAGGCATGGATAAAAAAAAATGCAATAAAAGACCAATTTCTCTGCTACTCATACGTTAAGGTGGGACCCGCGAGCGAGCAGGAAAGCTGTGCTCTGATCGGCTACCCAAGAGTGCAAAATGTGTTTTCTTTCGTTTCCACTTTGATTACCCACAGAAGGAAAAAAAGAAATGCTTGTAGCTTGTTGAATACCTCGTATAATTTCGTAACTAAACAATATATTTTTGTCCAATGAATAAAAGCTTTTCCAGCATTTTTGTTTAAAACAGAGGTCACAGATTCGTCCTAAGTGAAAACAAAACAAAACAAAAATCACAACGAAACTGGCAGATTCGTTTGGTAATTCTGTGGTGCATAAATGTATTTTGTTATCGTGTGATACATCCTTTGATCCGTTGCTGACGAAGCCTTCGTCTCGGTCCCGGCTTAAAATGTAGTGAGGGAAATTGGCCGATGTACAGCCTTCTTAGCTCACACTTGTTCAGTAATGCACACGCATATATGAGGTATTAGATAACCGCGCGTGGATTCGAATTTTACCATCCAGTGTACATGACATCTTTCACTTCTTCAAATAGATAATTCAATTCAAGCGGATAAATTCGTATCCATAGGACGACATGTATCATCCTTTTGATTCAAAAGATATTGATCGAAATTTGAATCAAATACAATTTTTTAAATAAGAGCATCGATTACAGAGATCCGCTACACCGAAACTCAGCTCGCCGGAAAACCAATTCAATTTCGGACATTGGAATACAACAATTTCTCATAACAAGAACTATTTATTTTAAAAAAGAACTGAATTCAGCTTCAGGTTAAAAAAAAACAATTAAAAAGAACAGCCCACATGGAAAGTATTACTGTCATGTTGAAAAATTCGGTTCTAATGACGACCTTGATACCTAAATATGTGATGATATAAATGGCACATTTACAGCCTGCAGTGGAGATGTCAAGTTTCGGAAACTGTAAAAATTCTGGTATTTCACCAGCAATCATATTAACTCTATTATTACTATATATCGCGAATATTATGATATCAAAAGAAACGTAGGGATTGTGTATTTTTTTTCAACCTCGAGCTTTGTTTCAAACTTCGTTTGTTTTCGAGAGATATTTGCTGGTTTTTGATATTGACGAGAGCTGATTATATACGGAATGTTATCCAGCTCTGTCACATGCTCATCACGCGCTTCTGCCGCATAATGATCACGCACAGTTAAACCTTTAACTCCCGTGATCTAATTGTTAATTCTCCCCTCTAGCTGCTACATGTTTCATTTCAAAGTAGATACGGAAATTTGGTGTTAGTTCAAAGATAACGAATTCTACCTGATAAAACTTTGAGTATTCTGATTAATTACTTGTTTGCTGGATAACGTATTGATATTACAGGGACAAGTTACAAGTTATATCACTTCTAGGAGTTTAAGGCTTAAGGAAATTGCATCGCGTGCAGACTATTAAACCACGAGTCAAATAAGAGAAACCATTGAAATATTTTCACATCTGATAACAATAAACCGGGAAATTCAACTCAAATTAAATTTGATTGTTGTCAGCTGCAAAAAAAGTAAGATTGCGGTCTTTCATTAGAAATAACATGAGCTCTACAGCTCTAATCAGTCGCAGAATGAAAATTAATTTGTACCTATTGAACTGTTATCCTCTGAATCCCTCTATTTTCCTGACGATGTCATTTGTTAATTCTACATGCCTGAAAATATCAAGAATAATATTTTCTTTACAACAATTTCGATGAAAAAATGAAAAACATATTCACGAGTTTGAAAAATCTAACCTCATTTAATTCCCAGTTTCTTGATCAAAATTGCTGTTCTTCTTTAAGAAATTTATTATGCTTGCTTTTTTTTTTGTTTATTATTTTTATGGTTATTACTTGTTTACATGTTTCTCGATGGCGATTAATTAATTCTGTGATTTGAATTCAGCTCTGTTTCTTTTAGTGCAAAACACTCGCAATCCGTAAAACCCCTTTTCTCCTCGGAGCAGGGCATGTTACAATAATAATAATAATCTTTATTTCTTAAGATAAAATCACATATCCTAAGTTACAATATAAACTCAAAAAGCTATTTACATATCATATTTAAAAATTATTCTGTTACTAAAAACGTTCTTAAACCTGTCAGTGTATATTCCAGGGACAGAGACTGACGTAATTCTAAGATTGTACCTCATGTTCTTTTCCTTAGGTAAAAACTGGAAGAACGGGCATTCGGGATCTTTCGATCTTTTTTTGTAGAGTGTCTTGTCCGCCTTCTCTAGCAAATCCCTGATATTTACATTCTTGGACATAAACTTTCTTTTCATACACCGGTTTAAAAAATTCTGTACTACAGAAAGGTCAGAATCTGAGGCACCATAAACCGGCAGAGCGTAAGAAAAATTTGGTAAAACTATTGCGTTAAAAAGGTGATATACTTCCTCCTGGGACATTCCTTCCTTACGTAAAGATCCTAATACGTATAATGACTTGTTCGCCTTAATTACCTTCGCGCGCACGTGACTACTATATTTACAATTTTGTTAGAAGGTAACACCTAATATGGATAACTCTGCGCACTGCTGTATATTACTAACTGGCGCGATGTCCTGACTGAAACCTTTCTTACAGAAAATAATCTTATTGCATTTTGTTGGATTGCATGTCATGCGATTGCGGCTGGACCAGCTAAGAAACTGATCCACCAAGTCAGTGCGACACTGGCCGTTTCCCCAAAAAGGGACGATAATTGTAGAATCATCAGCATATTTAAACAAGGCTGGGCGACCTTCTAGATTGATCTCCAAGTCATTAATAAACACGTTAAAAAGATATGGCCCACTGACCACCCTGCCCTAACTGAATCGGTAAGGATGAATTCACACCGTGAGTTATATTGTACCAATGCAATTTATCTTCAAGTGATCAACTCGATATATCCCTCGTTCAATATGATACACATTTGTTTTTGGTCATCTTCCCATTAGCGTTACAGTTCTCTCAAATTTTCATTTTCCGCTCTCACCGTGACAACTTCATTAAGCTTCTAAAAATAATAACGGTAAGCTTTTTTCTTGTCATCTTTATTATTCTTTGGTACATTTGAATTTGATGGGTTTTTTTTTTAAAGATAATATATCAGGTATTGGAAAGTAATACATACAAAAAGAGCAAGCGGTTTATGTTAGGCTTAAAGCCAAGTATATAGGAAGGAAAAAAAGAGAAAAATAATAAATAAATATTGCGGTTTGCTTAGGCGTTTTAAGCGGAAGTTTTTTGGTTTTTATTTTTCGTTTGTTTGTTTGTTTGGTTTTTGTTGTTGTCGTTGTTTTTTTCCTTTAACTATTATGAAAGTAAGAAAAGTAAAAATTGGCGCACGATACCAAATAATGTTGTGAATTATTGAGGTCCGTGATTAGGGGAAAGACTTGGGAAGGATGGTGTGGGTTTGGAACTGAGGAGCAAAGAACTAGCGGCAAGAAAGAATACGTAGTTGACAGACAGCTGTGAGCATTAACCACACGAGTGTTTTGGCGAAGGCCGATTTCTTTCACACTTGCGAATGTATTCATATACAATTAGCGAACTCCAACGTCGTGGAGACCTCTGATCTTTCTCGAAAAAAACTTAGCGGAAGTGGAAAGTGAGGAGGAAGTGAAATATTGGATTGGTGGGACCACTGACGAAACCGGATTTCATTCAATTTTGTTTGCTCGTTTTTATCCGCGCGGGGATCCCGGTCGAATTCCCGCTGGCTCCCTGGTACAAATCTCCTCACCGGCATCCCGAGAGAGATCCTGACAGGTGCCCCGTGGGAATCTCGGCGTGAACTTGCGAAAATACCAGCGTACACTCCAGAGGGTAATGACATTAAGGAACTCGTCTTTTTTGTCTCATAACTAACCATTTAATTCTTTCACAAATTCACGAGGACGGTACAATCGAGCAACCGTTTTTAACCCGTAACTGAGTGTTATCACCGAGTGTTATCATCGTTTAATACAGGTCACCAAGAAAAGACAAGAAAACAACATTTTGTACCATAATTTATCATTTCTCTTTCAAGTGAAGCTTATTTTAAAAAATGGCTCAAAAATGTATCGAATAACATCAACAAAACGATGATGCAGCGTAAAAACAGAACGATCAATAAGAATTCTAACGGCCAGACCTCTTGGTAATTACTAAGGAAATGATTTACGTAATTTTCTTATGTAATATTTGTTAGATACAAACAGTCCTGAGAAGAAAGATAATCTGCAATGCGTTGAGGATATTTGAACTCTTAATACTAACATTGATTTTGGTAGACAAACATGGAATAAATTTTACTTCAGAGAGAATTCGTCGTTTTATTCGAGTGATTCCGCCCTAAGTGACCGTTTCATACAACCCGAATAGGCCGATGGGACTCAGCGAAGGATGACCACAACCGCTTAATAGAGACCACCGCTGAAAAGTGGTGAAAGTCACAATGCATAAGAGGAAAAAATTCGGGAATTTTACAACCGACCTCTTAATACAGGTTCGACTATTAATTCTGAATTAGCCAATCAGCCCACGCGAAGAGCTCTGTTGTGGTATATACTAAAAACCGCTGTAGGGTGGATAGACGGAGTTGAGTTATGTAGCACGAGGAGAAAATTTAAGAAGACGAAAGAAGCCTAAGTCTATCA